ATCTATCTATCTATCTATCTATCTATCTATCTATCTATCTATCTTTAAACTCACTATATAGCCTGGGGTGGCCTCAAACTCACAGGAATCTTCCTGCCTGAGCCTCCCAAGTGCTGAGTTTACAGGCATGTGCCACCACATCCAGCCCTAGTCCCCACTTCTTACCCAAATCCCCTTTAATCACACAAGACATCACAGTGAGTCCTCATCGTGGATGGGGCCTTCCTGACCTAACCCCAGGCTTACTGCTCCCCTTAGGCAAATGTTTGATACAACATCCCAGTGTCCTCTGCCTCCCTCCCAGCCATCAAGAGTTTGGGTCTCAGGGGCATCTCCTGCATTAGCCTGACCAACTTGGATGGCTCACCTACCTCACAGCAGGTGCTGCAATCTGTTGCCTACCACCTAGGCCTGCACCTGCAGAGCTTGTGCCTAGGTGGGGGCAGCCCCACAGAGGCATCCTTTGTGGCCCTGATCCTAGGATGTCCAGCCCTGCACACCCTTGTCCTCAGTGGCTGTAACAGCCTCTTCATATCAGGCATGCTGTTCACTCAGCCTGAGATGGCACAGAATGTCCGGCAGGCATTGAGTGGCCTCTGTGAGCTCAACCTCGCTGGCCTACGAGACCTGGGTGACCTCAGCTTCAACCAGCTCTGCAGCTGTGTCCCCAACTTGGAACACCTCTCCTTGGCCTACTCCCACCCCACCTTCCAGCTAGGTGCAGCTCAGGGTCCTATCAGCCCTCAGGACTCCGATTTTTCCAAACTCTCCTTCTGAAACGTGCTCCGATTTGTAAAAGAGCAAGCTGGCAGACTGCATGCCCTGGACCTGAGTGGCACTGGCTTGCTACCCAAGGCCCTGCAGGCCCTGGGCCAGGTGGCTGGGCTGCAGCTGCAGGAGCTGAGCTTGCACAGCTGCTGGGACCTCTCCACAGAGGCTGTGGCCACCCTGTGCCACCAGCAACCAGCCCTTACCTCTCTGGACCTCAGTGGCTGCTCAGAACTGACTGATGGGGCACTCTTGGCTGTGAGCCAGGGCCTTCGGTACCTGCAGCGCCTAAGCCTGGGGAAGCTGCAGCGGCTGACAGACACAGGGTGCACAGCCCTGGGGGGGCATGTGGCAATTTCGGAGCCTGGACATGGCTGAGTGCTGCTTGGTGAGTGGGCAGGGACTGGCCCAGGCCCTGGGGCCAGTGCATGGAGCTCCACCCCCACTGATCACCCTCAGGCTGGCCTACTGTTCTTCACTGAAGGTGAGCGCACCATACTCTCCCTTTCTTCTCAGGGTGGGGGCTGGGAGAGCTGGGCCTGTGGCTGCAGGAACCACTAGTGTTTGCATCTGAGAAGTACTAGTTACAACCGAACTTGGGCCACAGTCTAGAAGATGGTGCTGGTGCACCTCCCTGAAGCCCCCATTGTGGGGTCTAGCAGAGGGAGGTTCAAGACAGCACCTCACAGAGAGTGACTGCTGCAGACTTGGCAGGGGCACTAAGGACAAGTGTTCTGAAGCAGGAAGGCTAGAGAAGAAGAGGGAGGCAATGGAGAAGCATGGCAAGGAAGGAGCACTGAAGAAGGTGTTTAGGCAGAGTCTGTGGGAGATAATGTGACATGGGAACACAAGGGCCACTTTCTGGCTGAAGACTTCTTAGGGCTCAACCCTGTCTCACTGGGCAGCATCTCTGTCTAAAAATGTCAGTCACTAGGGCTGGGGTTTTAGCTCAGTGGCACCAAGCCTGCCTTACAAGCACAAGGTCCTGAGTTCAATCCCTGGTACCAAAAAAAGAAAGTCAGTCACTTTTTAGTGGATTATTCCTTTAACTTATCACTGGGACAAGGGTATACCCAGACTAAAATGTCAACCTTATTTTGCACCATCTCTTCTTTGCTCATTCCATCTTCTATTGGCCACCAAAGTCTTTTAGCTGCTCTCCAACAAGATCTTGCTTTGTTGTTCAGGCTGGCCTTGAACTCACTATGTAGCCCAGGCTGACCTCAAACTTGTGGTGATTCTCTTGCCTCAGCCTCCCAAGTGCTGGGATTACAGGCATGTACCACCACACCCCGCCCCTCTGCATCAAAACCAGTTTCCTCTGCTCTGCCCTTAGATCCTGGTGCTCTCACCAGACTTCTCTGCCAGGTGGTGGCCCTCACCACCACCGCCACTTCAGAGTTCCACTTCAAATTCTGGAGGGAGCATATCTCATTGGCTCAACTCATTGGCTGGTGCAAGGGTCAACTGTTCACCCCTGGTCCAGTGAGCTGTGAAGCAGACAAGCTTCTATCTGCATTAGAAATTTCCACCTGTATCCTTCCTGGCCCACCCTTAGAATAGGCCTTTTTCCTTCAGCAACGTCCTCCAGGCATCCCATCCCCACAACCAATCCTGTCTACTCCAAACTTTCACAACCAGCACAGGGACCTGGGCCCTCTGGCATTCCCTGTTGTCTTGGGGCAGAAACCTTGGACAGATCCCCTGCTAGTGACCCCTGCCAAGCCTGGTAGCACAGGCACAAGCTGCTACTCCAACCTCCTTTCCACCTTGCTCCTAGGATGCCTCAGTGCTGTCTGTGACCTCAGCACTGGGCCCAACTGTCAAGAGTGCAAGACTTATGGTCATATGTGGCCCTCACCAACAGGACCATACAGGCCATCTGCACCTACCTCACCCACCTCTCAGTCCTGCGCCTGGGCTCATGCAAAGCGCTCCAAGACTGGGGGCTTCTGGGGCTACGGGAACCATCTGAGGAACCTGCATTGGGTCCCCAGGTGAAGACCCTGGAGGTCAGGGAGGGTGGGTCAGCCCCTGGGCTCACCTGCCTTCCTCCTTCTTGAGTCTCTAGGAGCATTTAAAGGCAAATTCAGAAATGACTTGAGAAGCAGGGGTTTCTTCCCACAGCTGTACTCAGAGCAGGAACATCAGGCTTCAGACCCCGAGGAACCCTTTCTCAAGCCACAGGGACCCTCCCTGCTCATGCTGCAGGCCCTGCAGGAGTTGGACCTCACAGCCTGCAGCAAGCTGACTGATGCCAGTCTGGCCAAGGTGTGGATAGGCTAAGGATCCTGGGGCTGGAGCATGGGGACTGGTCTAATCCATTTTTTACTTGGAAAAATGTACCTTTCTTACTGGCTTTTGGTCACTCCCCTGAATGGGGACAGGAACCTGGAAGGGCTCCAGGCTCTGGGATTCAATGCCATATTCCACCCACTGGCTCTACCCTCATCCTTGCAGGTGCTCCAGTTCCCCCAGCTGAGGCAACTGTCACTGAGCCTATTGCCAGCGCTCACAGACAACGGTTTGGTGGCTGTGGCCAGGGGCTGCCCTAGCCTGGAGCACTTGTCACTGAGTCACTGCAGCTGCCTCAGTGATGACGATTGGGCCCAGGCAGCTGGGTCCTGGCTCAGGCTGCAGCACCTCAACTTATCCAGCTGCAGTCAGCTCACAGAGCAGTGAGTGGGACTGGTGACAGAACAGATGGAGTCACAATGCAGGGGTGAGTTGGGGTCCCACGATGGGTCAGGCACTTAACCAGTATCCTCCTCACAGAACACTGGACACCAATAGCCAGGTGTGCAAGCAGCTCCAAGTGTTGGATGTGGCCATGTGTCCTGGTATCAATGTGGTGGCCGTCAGGCACTTCCAAGCCCAGCTGCCTCAGGTGACTTGTGAGGGGCTGACCTGACCCTGACACTCTGAGGCCAGGTCAGTATCCATCCCTGCAGCTCAGCCTTCTTCATCCCATAGCCCGCCCCAGCCCAAGATTCTGCACCTGGAGTTTGCCCCAGTGCCTCTTGCCTCCCTCTGCTATAGACTCCTTGTCTAGGAATGGGGGTGGCACCAACCCAGGGCAGCCCAGGGGACTTCCTGTTCCAGCCTGCCCCTCAGCTGGGCAGCAGCCTATTTTTAGCTACATGTCACCACCACAGGCCCCTGGAAATGCTAGCTACATGTTGCTGCCACAGGTTGCTTCTGTGCTCCACTTGCTCCCTTGAGGTACTCATCCAGCTCCCACAAGCACCAAGCTTTAGCAGCCAAGTTGATTTTACTGTAAACCCAAACAAGATTAAAAATTCCAGATCTTGCCTCTTATCTAAAGTTTGCAGACTAAAGGGTCCTTCCCCTCCCCACCTCAATTGACCCAAAGCCCCACAGGTGCCCCTGTGTTGGCCTCAGGGCTGGTCCACACTTGTCTAACTCAACCAGGTCCCAGCTTCTTCCCCACATGGTAGGAAGCTCTGAGGCCTTTCCCTGCACAACACCCTGTCATGCAAAGGCCTTGGTCTCAAGCCAACCCCAGGAGGAACTGATTAATGATGCCTGATTCAATGAGCATGTCTTGAAAGGGACGGGGCAGGGAGGAAGCATCTCTGGGTGGAGGGGTCATTAGAGGTCATCTAGACCAAGCCCCTAAAGTACCAGTGACTTCTCAAGAGCAGCTCTGAAGGGCCAGGGATTTAGCTCAGTGGCACCACGCCTGCTTTGCAAGCACAAGGTTCTGAGTTTGAGTCCCAGTACCAAAAAAACAGTATCAAGCAGCTCTGAGAAAGGCTGTCCAGCTAGTCTTCCATATATCCACATACACTGTCCACCTATCTGCTCATCTGTTCTAGGAGCAGCTAGCTGGTACTCTATGGTTACCTGCAAGCACTGTGCTTCACATGGGAATTCAGAGATGCCTAAGCTCTCTTGGGTTCCCTTCAGGCCATCTAGGGAGGCAAATAAGTCAACAGGCAGAGTCAGTCCAATATGCAGGTGTACAGTATACAAGTAACAAGCACCTAGGGCCTAGGCATGAATGAATTTGACCTAGAGGGTCAAGGAATCAAGGCAGTGAAAAATGGGCAAGAGGAAGGGAAGGGAGCAATCCAGGCAGAAAGGACTACAGGGATGCACGTGGGCAGCTAGAGCTGCCACTGGAGGGGTGTAGAGGGGATGCCAGCTTGGACCAAGCACCAAAACCCTTGCAGGGCACAGGCTCTCAGTTGGAAGGGCTAAATCACAAAATGTTTTCAACCTATCCAGCTCAACATAGTGCTCAATCATAGTAACCTGGACCATTAGCCCATGGACATAGGAAGACACTGAAGAATATAGGGTGTGTGTGTGTGTGTAATCATACCCAATTTATGGATGAGGAAGCAGTTGGAAGCCATTATTGAGATGAATGGAAAAACAAGACTAAGCTGGAGGTCAGGAGGTTGTTGCAAAGATGGTGACATGGACAAGGGACTAGAGACATTGAGAAGGAGGAACTGACAGTATCAGCAGACTAACAGCATTTTGGGATCGCTGCCCCTGATTTCCACTTTGAACTCAATAGCAGGCTGTTCTAAGTGTGATGGGAAGTCTCAGAACCTGGATTTCTGAGGATCAGAAGTGTAGCTGAGGGATGAGGGGCAAGTGCTAGCCCAGCATATTCTCCAGATCAGGTGCCATTTCATCAGTGTTCAAGGTAAAACATTGATGGTTAACACTTAAACCATATTTGAGGAGGAACTGGGAAGTAGTGAGTGGCATGGAGAAGGAAATCAGGGTAGGGGGAACGTTCAACCTGCCCTGTGAATCCTCTGAGCCGGTGTGGTCTTCTTTGCCTCAGGGACTTGAGGTCTGTGACCACAGCCTGATCTCCAGCTGAGCCAAACATCCCTTGCCACTTCTTTTTTTTTTTTTTTTTTTTTTGGTACTGGGGATCAAACTTGGGTCCTTGGCTTGAGCAGCAGTGGCAAAACCACTGAGCTAAATCCCCGGCCCCCCTTGCCACTTCTGCCCTCAGGGCTTCTGGCTATCTGTGGCCTCCTACTCATCCACACTCGAGTTAGGTTTTAATCAGAATGCAAGGCTTCCTGCACAGAATTCCCATTTGTCCGCATCACCCAGATGTTCCCACCAGATTTGGGATGCCCTTGGGAACCTAAAACTTGCTCTTCAGCAGAAAGCAGTCCCAGCTTCACATCTCTCCCTTCATGCCTCTATCCAGAGGCCTCCAAATCCTACAGAGGATATAGGACATTGCCAAGCAGGGTTAAGGACTAAAGTCAGACTGTCAGGAGCCTTCTGAAAGCATGGCTCCCAGACTATCTGTGCTAACCAGGAAGACATCCATTCGGACACTGCCTCCTACCCTGCTACTTCTCTCCGATCTGTTGCCCCCAGACCATAGTCCATCCCTGTCTGCAGGCCCAGCGCTGAAGGAGGATGAGGACTCATCTTGGAGAAGGGCAACAGTACCAGCCTGGCCCCACTTCCCTTAGAACACCAGTGCCCCAAAGTAGCTGCCAAGTTTGTGATCCTGCCAATGTCTTATTTCATTCACTAGCTAAGTCTGAAGACAGAAAAGGATGACTGTCCCTATCTGTCACAGGATTGGCCCACAAGGTTCAGAGCTGGCTTGACACAGTACCTAAAGACCCAAGAAGACTTTATTTCTGTTGCAGCATTTGCTGTTCAGGGTGCCTGTGCTTCTCTACCTTCCACTTTCTGTGGTTGCTGTAGCAGCAGCAGCAGCTGTAGGCTTTGACCAACCTCACAGTCAAGGTTCAGCGATGGTGCAGTCATAGCAGAAGTTGAAGTTGGTGGGGGTTGGGGGAACAGGTGGTGGCTGGTCAGGGATGGGCACATTCTCCAGCTCCAGCAGCCGCAGCTTGGTTTCCATGGTCAGCAGCTGCTCTAGATCCAGCCGGGTCTGCTCGCTGCCCATGGGGCTACCCAGCAGGGCACTCAGACCATCTGTCCATAAGTAGAACTGGGGACAGATGAGGCCAGGTCAGTGAGGGTCTGCCCATCTGTGCCCTCAGTCCATCTGTTCATCTCAGCCTGGCCCTGACACTTACATCCCGTTTGGAGGGGGCAATGAAGTTGAGGTATGCTTCTTCCTCACCACGGTCATAGCTGATGGAGAAAGCCAACTCATAGAGGTCCTAGGGAAGCAGGCAGCAGGGACACTTAGCAGGAAATGGGACAGGCAGGAAGAAGCCCCTGATCCACTGTACTCACCTTGTTCTGCTTCCCAGAGCCCTTCTCCCTAACATGGGGGCAGTCCTTGCCCATCAGGAGCACCCTGATGTCAGCCACAGGGACTGCAGGAAGAAGACTGGGCTGACCACTGGAGCCCTAGGCAGCCCCAGGGCATGGGTTATCAGGGGAGAGTGTGTGTTGAACCCTGGCCCTGCCCATCTTACGCTGCTCAGGCAAGCTCTCTGGGGTAGGTGGGCCAGTGCCTTCTTCTACATCACCATACTGAAGCACCTTGTGGTTGGGGGACAGGCAGCAGAACCACAGCTTGTCTACATGGGGAATAGGAAAGAGGGAAGGAGTGATGAGAAGGGCCCTGACCCCAATCCAGCCACAACCCGTCCCTCCTTGGCCCACTCAGGGACCCTGGCGTCTCCGGCTGCTGATCTTGTGGAAAAGCGCCCCCTCACAGAGGCGGAGCAAACGCTGCTGGCGGATCAGGCTCAGGAGCTCTGGCTTCAGCTTCTCCCGAAGCTCCCTGGATAGGAGGTGGGGAGTCACTTAACCAGGAATGACCTGGGACATGGCCCACAGGGTACCTGGGAAGATGTAAATTAGGACTGTGGACCTATCCTAGCAACTCACAGTATGGGAGGGGCCAGTGTCCCCTCCAGGTGTAGCCGTTCTGTCTGCCGCAGCCGAAGCACCTCCCCATAGGTGAGTGCATTCACCTTGGTCCGGAAGAGCTCCAGGGAAGTGGGCTTCAGGGCCAGTGTGCGGGCCAGCTGCTCCCGCACCACCTGCATGACCTGGGGCCACCTCAAGCTCAGCTCTGGGCTCCTGTCCCAGAACAGCCCTCTACCCTGTCCTCCCAGCTCTCACCCTACCCACCTTGTCAAAATCCTCCTGTGTAGCCCTCATCTCCTTCCAGGTCTTATTCAGCAGCTGGATGGCTACACAGAAGAGCTCATGGAAGCTCTGGTCTTGGCCGAAGAACATGGGCGAGAAGTCCTGGGCTGTCTCAGAGCCTGGAGCGGGGGGGCAGGAGGGGCTCAGGGAGAAAGTGTGCAGCCCCTGGCCCTCTCTGCCCTTCCGTCCCCTGTCCCTGGACACACTGTGCCCAGCCTCACTCACAAGGCTCCCCAATGTGGAGCAGCTCGCACAGCAGCAAAGTCAGCTGGATGCTGCTCCGGGCAAAGGGGCACTCATGCTTGTCTTCACGGCTGCTGTTCTCCAACACGAACTGGGGTGGTAGGAGCAGAGAATGGGGCAGAATCTCAGCTAAGCCCATGGGGACCCTGCCAAGGGAGGGTGCTGCCATCCCTCCCTCTCATTCTGTCACCGACCCGGCTGTATGCGCTGGGTGCTTGTCTGGAGAAGTAGAGCATGTTGTCCAGGGCCAGCAGGCCAGGAGGCACACGCTCCAGGTCCTGTGCTGGGTTGCTGTTCTGGAGGGGTGGGAGCACAGGCAGCTCAGGAAGGACTGCAGCCTCTGGAACAAGCACAGCCTGAAGGACGTTGGGGTGGGGACTTGGGTAGGGGTCACTCACAGAGAAGCCCAGTTTTCGAAACTCTCGGGCACAGAGGGAACGGTGACGGTCAGCACTCAGCCCAGTGCCCAGGGACTCTCCCTCTGGCTCAAAGGCAGCCTGGCGCAGGGCCTGCAGCTGGTCTCGCTGTTCCTGGGATCATTGTTTGGGGAGGGGGAGGGTGTCAGGATGTTATGATCATATATTTGAGATGGGGGTAGCTCAGTGGTACAGCACTGGCCTAGCATCTGCAAAACCCTGTGTTCAATCCCCAGTACCTCACACACACACAAAAAGATCACATCCAAAGCCAAGTCCAAGCCACCCTTAGCCTGTCCCCACCAAAGACATACCTGGCTATAGGGGTCAACTGGTGTCCGCATGCGAGGCTCCAAAAGTCCCAGTGTAAGGGCCTGCAGCACGTACAGATGATGGGCCATCTCATCACCCAGTGGCATTGCACTATGGATGATGCCCTGGAAGACAGGCAGGCTGTGGGCTCACTGGGAGAGGAGCCATTGGGAGGGGCCTCGGTGGGCTAGCCCTTCCTACCTTGTAGATGAATTGACGAAGGTTCCTTTGCCATAGGTAGTCAAGCATGTGCTGAGGTGGGTGGTAAGGGGACTTAGATGATATAGCCCTAGAGTGGAGCAGAATGCCCATCAGCTGCCACCTCCCCATCCAGCCACTGGATGAGTACTCACCTTACGTTCAGCATGGCTAGCTCCCTGCAACAAGGCTGTCAACAATGCCATGGCCTTGGTTTGCAGCTGCTGGTTCATCCTATGGAAAGAGGTGGGCAGCTGAATATCCAGGGTCCAGCCCTGCTTCCCCATCTGTACCCCACCCCAGAGGCTTACACCTGCAGGTGCACCAGCAGCCTATCCAGTGGCACTTCACTCTTGACCACCTGGCCTAGGGCAGGGCTGCTCAAGGTCACACTCTCCAGCAGCCGGAGGGCCAGGGGCTGTACCGAGGCATCCATCAGGTTCATGTTCACATAGCACACCACCTTTAAGAGCAGTAAGGGGTTGTCCCTACCTTGCCAGCATGAACAGCCAGATCCTGGCACTGCCCTACTGCTCCCACCCACTGGCCTTAGAAAAGCCCACCCACCTTCCTGATAAAGGTGATGGTGAGCGTCTCCCAGGATACCACGCCATGCTCCATGAGCTCCAAGAAGGTCCTCAATCCAAGGGCCAGCACCTCCCCTAGGCTGGGGGGAGGGGACACATCTGGGGCTGAGCAGGACCACCCAGGATCTCAGGCCCCATCATGTCCCCCCAGCCCACCACAACCCTGTACTCACTCTTCCCCATCTTCAATGATCATGCCTAGTCTCTGAAGCCCATCACGACGGATGACCTCCTGGGCAAAAGTCATGTCTGAGGCTAACAGGACGAGGTGCCTCAGGGCTTCCCGGCGACCTTCACGACTGGAACTCTGCAGCCCACCCAACAGCTGCTCAGCCTCAAGGTCCTGGCCAGGGTGGAAATAGAGCAAAAATGAGATTGGACAGAGGTAAGGTCTGAAAGGGGGAAGGTGTCCACTAGGTGGCGCACTGCTGGGCTTGGGGCCAGGGCCTCCAGACCTGGGGCAGAGGCCCACAGGCAGAAAGGGGCACAGCAGAGGGGTGGTCAGGAGAAGGCGGGCCGAGAGAGACATTACTGGGGCAGTGCTGAGACACAGGATGCTGCCATTCTTGATTTCCACGCGGTTCTGGAGGAAAAAGCGGAAAGGGCCAAGTCAAAGGGCGCTTTGAGGAATGATCAACTAGGATGTCATTGAGGATTTGGGAGTCAGAAAAAGAAAGTTCACATTCAAGGAGTCATAGGGTGGCATGTGAGGAAGGGACACTCACATTCTCCGTGATATATCTCCTGTGCCCGTCAGCAAACTGCAGGGCATAGTGCTCGGAGTGAGTCAGGCTCCACCTGCGGGGCGCGGACCTCAGGGAGGCTGGCAGGGGAGCCTCGGCGCCCGCCCCTCCCCCATCCCGCCCAGCCCCCCCATACTCACGCGTCGCACACCTCCTTTAGCACAGCGGCCAGCGGCTTTGCCTGTAAGTGGAACTGTCACTCATAGAGCGGGAGTGGGGACAAGTTGGAGGAGGGACTTGAGGGAGAGGTAGAGTGGACTATCCTGAGGGGAAGGAAACGACCTAGAGGTGGGCAGTGGGGTGCACGGGGGCTAGACAGGCCGGATGACCTGGTCCAGCTGGATGAGCTGCGGGATGGCGTCACGCATCTGGACGGCAATCTTCACCACGTTCCGTGGAGGCGCCATGCTCCAGACCGCCGTGAGTGCCTGCGCTTTCCACAAGCCGCACTACCTCCTGTCCAAGGCGCACCTCGTCTCGGGCCCCTAGAGGCGGGGACGTCCCTGTCTGCAACCTCGTCTTAGTGGCTCAAAGTTCAGCCCAGAAGTTCTCACTGGCGGCCAGGCGCTGCGGCCTTCCCAAAGGAGCCAAGGCTAGTTCCGGGTTGGAATCCCAGGAGCTGAAGGGTAGGACCGCGCCTGCCCTGGCCCGCCCCGCCAAGGAGGCCCCGCCCCGTGCCAAGGTGCAGCAGGTGGGGGCTGGGAGGGCAGGTTGCCTGAGGACGCCCCACCTCCCATTCCAGCAAGGTGACCCACCCAGTCCCGCTACCAATCCAGCACTGTCCCAGGGAGAGGCCCCAAAAAACTACATCAGAGATAGCCTTAGGCATGGTCTTTATTCAATCAGATACTGTACAAATATTACAATTTCCTTTTGTTGCAAAAAGTATAAAAATAATCTTTATATAGGAATTCATTCATTACTGTAAATCTTTCTAAATCTTTGTAAATGGCTCTAAATGTGAATAAATGAATAAATGGAAATAAGCGGGTACCAGGAGGTTGGCCCAATCCTCAGGGACCCACCTGCCCAGATTCCTAGAGACCTCATTTCCACCTGTTAGCAACACCCCCACACCTGGGCCATCTTTAGGTTCCTAGGGTTCAGGGCCCAACAGAAGGGGTGGGGGTTGGGGGAGGTGACATGACGGGACGACAGGATGGGATGGGACACATGAAAGGTCCAGGGGAAACTGTAGGGTGAGCAAGTGGGAAAAGAAGGTAAGGTGGTAGCTGGCAAGTGCCCAAGCTCTACCCCACCCTTCCCTCCTGGTGGGGGTGGGGGAAGCAGGAGCAGGGCAGTGGGCTAGACAAGCTGCCCTATGTGGGCACTGACCGGTCTCTGCCACTGGGTGGCAGCTGGCTGGGGCTAGGGAAGGTTCCAGAAAAGGAGAGGCAAATGCTATGGCTCCATGGTGGAGAGGACTGAGCCCCTTTCCCCACTCTGCTAGCAGCACAGTGCAAGTGCAGGGCTGCAGTGGGAGGCGTGGTCAGAACTGTACAGAGAGGGAAGGCTGGGGAAGCCAGGAGTCTGTGGCTCTCAAGGTATGCAGGTGTGGGGTGGCAGGTGTCCCCAGGCAGCCCCAGCTCAGTCTGGGTCTCAGCCACACAGGGCACGTCCTTGTCAATCAGAGGTTGAGAACAGGCACATCAAAGAGATCACAGACACCTTCACTCTCGTCCAGGTTGTAGATGTAATCGTGGTCTCCAGGAGGAGGAGAAAGGCGGAGGAGGGGGGCAAACACTGCAGAGAGCACTAGACTGAGGGCCTGAGCCAAGACCCCATCCAGCAGCCACCCAACTCCCTGCACACAGCCAACCCTCCCCCCACCCTCCTGGGCACCCACCTTCTGAGGACATCAACTCCTCCAGCAGCTCTGAGCTCATGCACTCTGAGAATGGAGAGAACTAAGTTATATGTGGGCTCCCACCAAGGTCCATGAAGGGGGCTCCCATTCCTCCATCAGAACCTTTACCCTTTGCCCTGGGAACCAAGCACAATAAGGTCCTCAGAAGGGCAAAAAACCCAGCCATAGCACTCAATAAGCTGTGCCCCTTATCCCTAGTCCCGGGGTGGTACATGGCCTACCTCGTGTAGGGTCAAAGATTTCTGACAGCTCTTTGGGGAGTTCAAGAACTGAAAGACAAAAAGCCGTGTTCAAGGCAGAGGTTTGGCTTGGTCCCACAAGAAGGACCTGCCTCAGATCCTATACCACTCATCTCTGGGGCTCCACACAGCTGAGGAAATGTAGGCCCTGCCCCAAGCCAAGCTGGCTGGCTGTTGGTCTCCTCTGCTAGACCTGAATGATTCAGAGCTAAGCCCAGGGTATCAAAGACCCATCACAGGTGATGGGTACAGCCTCTCTAGGTCAGAGGCACTGCAGCAGGTCAATGGACTCCCATCCCTCACTGGGCTGTGTGTGTGCATCCTGTCTGATGGAAGATGTCCCATATGCTTCCACCCTTGCCAAGCACCTGCTGTGTGCCAGGCTCAGAGTCCACATCCTGATCCAAGGAACTTGGCAGAGATGGTGTAGACACTTTGGTAAGGGATAGTGCTACAGGGTAATCCCACTACAAATCTTTGACCATGAGAAAACATATGGAAAGAAGAAAATAAAACTGAAGGGACCATGAGTGACATATGCCAAACAGGAGCTCAGGTTTTTTGCCTAGCAGGCCTTAGCCAATGAATATATGTGTGTGCATGCACATGCACATACATGTATGCTAGGGATTAACCCAGAGCCTCACACATGCACAGTACCTACTCTACCACTGAACTATATTCCAGCCATGAAAGCACCTTTTTAAGAGGGGCTGCACTCAGGATTTAACCGAGCCTTCACACTGAGCAACATTTCCAGCCATTGAAAAATTTTTTTGAGACAGGGTCCTGATAAATTGCCCAAGCTGGGCTCAAACTTCTGATCCTCTTGCCTCAGCCTCCAAGTGCGTATCACCACACCTAGCCCTGAAGGCACTTTTTTTTTTTTTTTTTTTTGGTACAGGGGATCGAACTCGGGTCCTTTCACTTGCACAGCAGGGGATGAAACCACTGAGCTAAATCCCTGGCCCTGAAGGCACTTTTATAAACAGACAAATGCCATAATCAGGGTCACCTTTCAGAGAGATTATTCTGTCAGTAAGGGAAAAGAGAAGGATGCTGATGAGTCTAGAATCTAGATGGCCAGCAGTCACTCTGAGTGCTGAGGATACAAGACAATGAGAGGTGTCTCATTTAACCAATGTGGATAGGTGGTGAGAGAGAGAAATGGAGTAACATCTAGGTGTCAAGCTTGGGTGGGTGACTAGGACCAATGGTAGAGTGCCCACAGAAAGGAAAAAGCAAATTTCAGGAGGAAATGGATTCAGTTGAGGTCATGTAGGAATGAGGTATTCACTGGAGATGGAGAAGGGAGAAGAAGACAGAGGTATAGAGATCAGGCAATAGATCTATACAGACTGGAGATTTGACACTGCAGAGCTGGGGCTCTTTCCAGGTGTGAAATGGGACACAGCCGCACAAACAGCCAATGTTTAAGCAAGTGTCAGGGAGAGACAGAAAAGAAGCCAGTGAGGTAGAAGAGTCAAGACTGCATCATTCAATCTAAAAAGGAAAGAGTAATCAGCAGGGAGCAAGACAGCAGCAGAGCCAAGCCCGTTGGGAACTTGCTAGATTCAGCACCTCATCAAGAGTACCACTGCTGCAGCACTGGGACAGGGTCTTGCCAGCTTCATGCTGAGGGTGACTAGACCGAGAGATGGACATGAGTAGGAACTACTCTTTCTTTCAAGGAATCCAGACACAGGGGAGATAGGAAGGATGAGATGGCAACACAGGAGGAGTTAAGTGTCAATTTGAGGTGAGAGACCCAGAGATACTCCAAGGGATGGAAAGCAGGGCTTGAGATAGGGTCAGGGAGTTCCACATTGTCCCAGGAAGAGGGCAAAAGGGCACCAGCAGTGACCCAGAGGTCAGGCATCCTGCCTTGGCTGGCGTGGGGCTCTGGGGTATCAGACAGAGGATGACAGAGGTGGGTTCCAGCCCCAGTTCTGTGTCCGAACTAGGAGTGGGCTGAGGCTATGCTCTCCTTGCTGCTCCCAGAGGGGCAGGTACTCACCACCTGTGGGGTCCACTTTGACGGGCTCAAAGGAGGTAGACGGGTTGGGTCCAGATGAACTACTAGTGCTGCTGCTGCTGCTGGTGCTGCTGCTGCTGCTGGTGCTGCTGCTGCTGCTGCTGTCTAGCAGGGCAGAAGACTGCAGCGGCCGGGTGTCTAGCACTGCTGGGCCCAGCAGGAGTGAACTGAGTTCACCACCATCCTTGCTCTCAGTTCCAGGGCCACCACTCACTGCAATTACATCCCCAAACCCAGTTACATGGGGGCAGAAAACGGGTCACTGAAACTGGGTGGGCTAGAACCACGGCCAGGATGACCACAGTACTGGTTCCCAGACCAAGGGGGAATCAGACACTGCCAGTCAGACCAGAAGAGAAAAAGTAGAAATGAGTCAATGAAGGGATCAAGGCCTGTAGGAGGGAGTTTCATGGACAAGAAGGGTCTGAGGGTACATGAGTCTCGGCAGATCTGAAAGAAACTACCATCACTGCTGCCACTTCATGAAGCCACAGCTTCCCTATTTAAAGGGCTCATTCACTGCCAGAGCAGGGGGTGGGATGGGCAGGGAACAGGGCAAAGCCAACTCTGACAGTCTCTTCCAATCCTGATCGTGGCACTCCACAACACTACTGCCTCTGGGGCCCCAGAAGAAAAGCCCATCACCAGCTGCCCACCATGCCTTACCTGTGACCTCAGCTGCTGGGCCAGCCACTCCTGGGACTTCAGTGCTTCCAGGAACAGGGGTAGAGGTGGTTAGCTGGGGACTGCTTGGACGTGAGGCTTCCTGAGGCTGGGCTAAGACAGGCTTGGGCAGAGGTGAAGGAGTAGAAACAGCAGATGAGCTCTGGAGCAGATCCTCAGGAGGTGGCACAGGAACAGCCACAGGTGAACTCCATGCCTCCTTGTTCACCAGCAGCACCTCAATGGGGCCACTCACACTCTTTAAATGAATCTGGTACTTCTTCTGTCCATTGAGACCCTGGAGGTGGAGGATAGAGGATGGGGGACAGGTAGAACTGCAAGCAGGCGTGGCTCCTGCTTTAATCTGGGTCGGGGCCAGTGTCCTCTCCCACTCAAGCTGCCCATCCTCTTAGATAACCCCAAACCCCAGGCCTCCCCCTACCTGCCCCACCCAGGTTTTATCAGACTCCACAGCCAGCACCCGCCCTCATAACCAGCTGACATCGCCTGGCTAGGCTGAGCACCCACCTCTGGGATGGGCACCTCCAGGCTGGTGCCTGATGGGGCCCGGATGGCCAGAAGAGTGTCTCCTAGAACAAGGACAATGGGTCAGGGCCATGGGCTGTTGGAGCTCGGAATGGATATGCTTGCCCCCAGGAACAAGATAGGAGACCACAGTCTCTAAGGGACCAGACAGTAGGCACCTGTCATCCCCACTGCAGCTGGGGCAGAGCTACAACTTCTCTTTCCAACAGCCCTGTCTCAGTGACCTGACTCAGATTTCCTAATCTGGGTTCAAACACATTTGTGGAGGGACAGATCACTGGACATGAAAACCTAACTCCACAACTGACGATGCTGATCCCTAGAAATAGGTTTTCTGGCCAAGGCCAATGTCCCCTTCCCAGAACAAATCTAGGGGATACAAGATGGAGACGGATCAGCTCCTGTGTCCACAATGCAACTGAACTAACACCAGGTTGAAAGTGGGAGCTGTTGGCCCCTGTATATAAGCATGAGAAAGTACGCACACAAGGGTGCTGTCTTTCTCTCTTTCCTTTGTGCCTCTGTCATGCCCAAAAAGCCAAACCTGGAGTACAGTGCTCATAGGGGCAAACCCAGGGACCTATCCCAGGATGTTTCCACCCTCTCAGTATAGCTGGCCTCCTACCAAGTGACACTCAAACCAAGGACTTACCCTACCTATTACCTCTTTGGGCAGGCCCCAGAAACCCTTTTAAGAGAAGGAACTCTCCTTGGTTAAAGAGCCCAATGAAAAGAAATGTGGCTCAGCCCAGGCCCACCCCCATCTCCCTCTACCCAGGCTCTGCTCACCAGCAAAGCATCTGCAGATGTCCTCATGAGTCACGTAGGCCAAAGTGTGGGGGTTAAGGAGAATGGCTGTAGGGTCAGATGGCAGACCACAGAGGAGACCCAACTCTCTCACAGAAGTCTGACACACAAGCCCTCAGAGAAAATTACATGGGGAGGGATCACGGGCTAAGATTGGAAGGGGAGAGTCTCTGCAGAGCAAGCCTAAACCCGGGACCTAGACAGGGGATAGAGGACCATCCTCCCAAGGTACAGGGCTCAGGGCACCACAGAACAAACCCAGCTGGATCAGAGGGCCCCTTTTCCATTCCCCCAGAGCAGGGACCACTAGGAGGATATCAACTGTTCTGCACGTCCTCTGTGACATTCCGGATGCTCTGCTGCACCCACACCTTGTGCTGATCAAGCTCTTGCTCTCGCTGCTGCAAGTCTTCGATCTCAGCCTTGAGCTCAATCAGCTTGTCAGCAATCTCCCGGGTATTGCAGCCAGGCCCCACGCCCCTGAGCCAAGGGAGTGAGACTGAGAGGGACTGCTGAAAATTCCAGGTCCCATGGCCCCTGCTGTCTCCTGCACCCTCCACCCCATGCTCCCAGCAATAGGAGATCCTACTGCCCTTCCAGATACGGTTCCACTCACTTCCACTGGATGCTGTTCTTGGATTTTTTCTCGATCAGCCCAATACCTTCCAACACGTTGGTAATGTCGTATATCCGCCTCTTCTGGCGGACAGCTAGGGTGTCAGCTGCCTGGCAGACAAAACACAGTGGTGCATACTTAGCCCCACTCTCAGGTATATCCCAGTTACCTTGGGGTGGTCTGGGAAGAGGTTTACTTGGGTCCCAATCCATAGCCTCCACAACCCTACAGCAACTCAGGACTGAAAGGCAGAAAGAGACCTGAGTGTTAGATACTCTTTTCCCTATGCCAGCCAGGAAGGGCCACGAGGACCAGCACCTGCAATCCCAAGCCTGGCACGTAGCTGACACTCAAAAGCTTCGGCCGAATGAATGAAAAAGTCCCCGGGGGCCTCTTTCCTGTGAGAAGGCACACGGATGGCGGGGGTCCCTAGGAGGACTCAGCAGGGCCGCCCTGAGGATTCTCGTTACCGGCCAAGTCCTGGCCCACCATGCCCTCAGTCGCCCCCTAGCCCGGGCCGCACCAGTTTGAGGTCGAGCACGCCGTCCTTGGCCTCCTGTAGAAGCGACACGAACTTGGTGGTGAGAAGTCCCAGGCTCTTCTCGTGTCGGCTTGGGGTCCCCGGGGGCGGCGGCGCCTGCGGGCCGGCCTCTGCCATCGCGCCCGACCGCCGCCTCCCCAGAGCCAGGCCAGGCCAGGCCGGCGCCGCCGCCACTTCCGCTTCCGTTCCTGGCCACCGGGCCACCAGAACCGTCGTCGCTATTTCCGCTTCCGCCCTGAACCTCCTCAGGGACCATGGTGCAATTCCTGTCTGTATGCTGGGAAGTAAAACTTCAGGGGCCATCGGCAAATGTCTAACTCCAGAAGTTGACCAAAAGGCGCTTGTCTGTGGGAGGCTAAGGAAGGCGGATTAGAAACTAGATAAACTGGGGAGGGATGTGCAGGCAGCCAGTGAGCAACCTCAACAATACAGAGCAGGGAGCACTGGGACGTTTTCTGCCAACCTACCTTCAAACCACTAACTACCCTAGTGTAGAGAGGACAGACCACACTGCTTTATAATCCCGACCTGTTGCCCCCAGACCTACTCATAAAAGCTGCCTCACTGTCTTGGGGATAACCCACCGTATTTTTCCTGCCAAAACAGCAAATACTAACTACCTCATCCCTACTACCCCTTCCCTGGTCTTGGCATCATCTTTCTCTGGTCTCCATACTACAGTGCTCAGAGGCCACAGGACTTTTTTATTTATTTTTATTGGTACATTTTATGTATACAATATAATGACATACATCATTGGAAATTCGCACCTTTACATAATCTCTCTTGGTTCTTATTTTTCCCCCTTCCCCTGCCCTCCCTTCAACCCCTCCATCCCTTCCTATTTACAAAAACTTTGTTTCCATTTTTTAATTTTCTCATATTAATTCCATTCCCTTCTTTCCTTTCCCCTACCCTTCCCACTTCCCCTTCCCCTTTGCCCCTTTTCTTCCTATTTCACAT